CACAAGTCTGGCTGCAATGAGCCCTATGCAGATTTGAAAAATATGTGTGCTGGCTCCAGGTTTGCTGAATGTTACTGTAGTGACTAACTGGCAACTGCAGCAGACTTTATGCGGAAATATTTTCTGGAGGAGACAAGGAATTTAGCTGGACTCGGAGCTAATGGGAGATTTTCTTCCAGCTTGGAAACCTCATCAAAATGTAGGGAGGATTTTCAATTTTAGGAAGTCATTGAGCTTCAGAATTGTTCATGTCTAAGCTCTGTATGAGCTCGATAGTGTTTAATGCTATATTTTTGGGCAGGAATATGGGTGACTTACAGATAGCTGTTGGATGTTTTGGCTGCATTTGCCAGAGTTGAAACCTGCTCTTATACTGAGCATTTGGGTGAAAGATGAAACCTTTTATTAGGGAAACTGGTCCACAGACCGTTCCAGCCCTCTGTGCAGTTTCTGGGGAAATCTGCAGTGAGGGATTTAGAAACAACAGGCTCATTCCCTTTAATGATCTGGAGAGGATGGACAGTGACAGAGTGCACAGAGGGCTGGGAGGGCAATGCCCCTTGTTATTCCTCCAGTTTTGGAATCAATCAATAAAGATGAACTTCTGCATGTCTTGTCACTGGAAGTAGGTGAATCTGATGGTCTCTCAATTTGGTTAAGAAACAGTTAAAAGAACCAGTTGCTTCTAGGAGCTTTAAACAAAAATCAAAACACCGCTATTCTCAAAACATGCAAACATTAGTGGCTTCAGCAGAAGCAGCAATGTGAGAGTTCCCATGAACTCTGACTAACCTCTGAGATTTATTGATAAATGAAAAAAATAAGGGGCCAACCTCTGGTTGCTTTAGGCACCGGTCTCAGCCTGTTAACAAGAAGCCCAGGGCTGGGTTCAGGATGTTTACTGCTTTTAGAGACGTTGAAGAAAATGAACTCAAAACAGTTTGAAACACTGATGTAAAGGAGAAGAATCTGTGATTTTTGTTCTGAACTGCCAGCAGTCATAGTCTGTGCATTAAAGCAAATGTAATGTGGAGCACATTGTGCTGCTCAGATATGCTGCTCCACATGGACACACATGTCCTCTGGAAGCTTTGGCCCTCATAGTATGGAGTCTTGCAATAGCACACTCACATCTTTGGGTGGTGGTGCTGAATTCAGTAAGGTGCCAGTGTGCAACCATGGCTTACAGGGACTGCTGGGCTCGGGGTGAGCTGTTGGGTGGCTTTGCTTCAGCCCATAGTTTTCACAACTAACTGGATGGACAGTGATGTTTTGGGGAGGACAAGGAGATAAAATTTGGGATGGCTCTTGGGTTCTCTGTTTATTTTGTCTCCACTCACTAAACCTTTTCCTTTGGCAATATTTAAAGGAAAGGTGTTATTTGTGTATGTTGGGATGAAGGCAGAGGTTAGAAAAATGAAGGTGCGTGTTGTGTAGTTCTGCCACATTCTTTGTTGCATGCATTAGCATGTGCAGAAACTTTTGAAATGCATTGCTCTTTACTTTGGGAAAACATACAACTGTAACCAAAAATAAATCTGCCAAAATGTCAGTTAAATTAGTATCTCGTAATGAAAATGTTTTTATATAGATATGTAGCTGTAGAATCATATTTAGCTACAATCTTCAGGATACCTTTTTTTATACACACTTTTAAACTAATTGATCTCTTTTAGAAAGGTAGATGTAAATACATAGATAGGTTTACACCTTTTCATAATGTTAACCTGCAGCCCTCTGCATTACCCTGCAGAAGTTTGTGTTGGTGGGGGAAGATGAGGTTCTTCAGCTTAATGCAACTGAGAAACATGGAAGACTCTTTCCAAAAGGTGTGATAACTTTTATACACACTTTTAAACTAATTGATCTCTTTTAGAAAGGTAGATGTAAATACATAGATAGGTTTACACCTTTTCATAATGTTAACCTGCAGCCCTCTGCATTACCCTGCAGAAGTTTGTGTTGGTGGGGGAAGATGAGGTTCTTCAGCTTAATGCAACTGAGAAACATGGAAGACTCTTTCCAAAAGGTGTGATAACAGTTGTTTGAATAGTTA